TGTTGGGAAAGTTGATTTATTGACTAAAAAAATCATTTTGTTTTAAATTTTATCTTTAGACAGTAAAATTAAAATAAAAATTTTAACCAAACACCATTAAATGACTTTTAAAACCAATAAAATTTTCTGGTAATTAATATTCGTTTTCTATTGACTTTTAAAATGATTATTTCTTTCTACGAGAAATGTATATACTAAATGCTTTTTAATGTTTTTTTTAGCAAAATAATTTTTTTAAACTAATGTACTAATTTATTAAGTCAGTTGGAGGCTTTCCTGAATCGGGCATCTCGCAGGTGAGGTTGGTGTAGGAAATGTTTTTCGCAACACTGATTCATTAATTATGGCTCACCCACTCTGCTTGTGATATGTTACCCCTATAGGAAAGGCCATGCATGGTTTAAATGAATGATAAAATTATATGAAAAAAATGTAATTTAAGTAGGTGTTGGGAAGGTTTGTAATGACCCAATTTTTTTTTTAAATAGTCACTACATAATTTAATTGAGCAAATTTTCAGATTTGGAGTGTTGTGTATATTCTGTCTAAAAACAGTTCAGTTTTGTATTTTTTTTAAACTAGTTCCCAGTCTCAAAAAATTATGAAATGTTTATATGTTGTTCACATATGAGTCTAGCATGTTGGGTAAAAATTTCAGAATTTATTGATGAGTATTTATTGTATGAAAATTCGTAGACTGATTGGTGTTCTGTTTAATTTATAACAGAAATTGAAAATGAGTTTTGTGTGTTTGACCATGACTTGAGATTAGTTTGTTGAGTCTATTTTGATGTATAATTAGGTGATGTTTAGCTTATGGGTGGGAATTTAATTCAAGACCCATGACTTAGATTTAATTTAATTTGAACTTGTTTATGACTCATGTTTAACTGTTTGGTCCTTTTCAATTATGTGATTGGTAGTGGCAATATTGAGGGTTATGATTATTTATTATATATGATTATAATATATGTTTGAAAGTTGAATTTATGTTGTGTACCATACAGTAAAAAAATTATATATTTTTGTGGTGAATAAAAAGGGATATATTTCGTGGTGAACAAAAATATTATATTTTGTGGCGAGAAAAAAAATATATCATTTTATAATTTATATTACAAAATTTTTGAGATATTATTTCTAAAATTATATTGTATTATTTTGAGAAATCAAATTCTTCGGAAGGCAACCCATGTAGGGCTGCCCCATTTCCTCTTTTCTTGCCCTTTCTTTCTTTTCATTTCTTTTGTTTGGTTTGGTAGAGGCTCCCCTCTCTGTGCGTCTCTCTCTCTTTCTCTCTCTCTCTCTCTACTCTTCATTGTTGCTCAACCTTTGAGCTCCGAATGAGAGTTCTAAGAGTGAGATTTTGCAAAAGTTTTGTAAATGAAAGTTGGAGAGCTCATCGTGATTTTCGTAATGGTAGTCTCGGATTCATGATTGGGCGAGATTTCTCTTTCAGATTTACTCCTCTTCATTATATGAGGTAGGGACTTTCTCCATATTATTACTTTAATGCTATGTTGGGGATATTTCATGAAAATATATAATTATAGGAGGTATTGCATATATATATATATACTAGTGTATGCCCGTGCCTAAAGGCACGGTGCAAATAATGATAAAATCAAAATGTAATTGAATATAAAATTGTTGGGTTAAAATATAATTTATTCCATTTGTTGCTAAAAAATTGAAGTCAAAATATAAATCAAGGTCTGGTTAATTTTGAAAAGTTCTTTTTTTTTTTTTAAACTTGAAAATAAACATTTCCTAATCAACTATTTAAAGTACGGCAAGTAACTCAATCATAAACATGTGTTTTTGCTAAAGCAATTTTAACAAACTTTATGACTCTAAATCATAAACTTCATATCAACACAAAAATTAAAAATAAAAGCATCCTTACCAAGCAAGTCAAAAAAAAAAAAAAATTTATAGATACAAAATAAAACGCACAAACCAAAGATATTGTACATTTGTTAACACAATAATCCAAAAAAAATTACACCAAACAATGCACAACCAATGCTTGACAATTACAAAAAAAAAAAGTATTTTGCAATTCAAAAAAAAACAAAAACAAATTAAAATTAAATACCAACCAACGCACACCAGCTATTGCTCTGCAATCTAAAAAAATTAAAATTGAAATGCACACCAACCAATACTTTGTAATTTAAAAAAAAATTAATTTTAAACACCAAGCAATGCACACTTGCTAGTGCTATTGCCACAACTCAACATTGTAATAGTTCTTTGCAAATTATAAACCCAAAACTACATGAGAAAAAATATAGGGAGAAAAAAAATTTTTAACTTGCCTACATGGTCACATGAGATTTTAAAAAATGTATTCTCAGCACAATCTACACCACATGGAAATAAGAAAAAATCAAGTACAACAACTTACTAATGGTGCAGAGAGACCATATATATTTTGTTCAAACCTTCTGTAACACAACAGATATATAAAATCATGGAAACACCTATGTAAGGACTAAATACTACTGTAAATGTTTTGTAAGGTACATCCCTTTTCTAATCACTGATAAATGTGAACGCATACAGGAAAAGATTTCAACTGTTGAAGCAATTATGGATTTAACAATTATAATAGACCTCATCAGTCAGACAATAAGGTATAATAGACCCTAAAAATATATAAATTCCTTCCACAACATGAGGAGTTTATTCCCAAAACCAACCAACAATAACAATACAAAGTTAATGAAATAAAGAACATCTGTAGGTGTGAAATCAATAATCTTCTGCACTTTTCAATGTTTAAATAAACATCTAAATTTTTCATATACAAAATTGTAGAAAGCCTACTGTTTTAAGCATTCGCTTTAAGTGAATAAATCTTCCCTCTGTAGAGATGAACCTTGAGAGCAGTCTCAAAATGCAAAGCTCAAAAAAGATTGTTTTTCCACTTCCTGTTGGTGCTGAAATGACCATATTTACATCGGATTGGAAACAGGCAGAAAAGCATTCACTCTGCAATGAGTTAAAGTACCTATACAACAAATACAAATGCATAAACAATACCAATTACACCATGTATAGCAACAGAACAATATTTTAGGCATTGTGGGTCAATTCCCTAAAGAAAATTTAGCATTATACATTGTTTGGGAGGCACAGTGTAAAGAAAATTTAGTGTATGCCCGTACCTAAAAGCATGGTGTAAAGAAAACAAATGGGAAAAAGGATACAAATGGGAAAAAGATTAAAAAAAAAAAAAAAGGTTTGGGAGGCATCCATTGCCACTGGTGGCGACATCATTAGCAGGGAATGAAGGGGATGCGGAGGAGGCACATGTGAGGCGAACAGAGTCGGTGATGGCTTAGGGGTGAACAACAGTGTTGTAGGTGTAGGAAAAGAAGAGAAAGAGTCAATAGAAGATAGAAGAGGTATGGTGAGAAAGAAGAGAGAAATGGAAATAGTGAGAGAGTGAAAAAAATCTCAACGCTTCACTTTTTAGTTGGGATTATCTAAACCATTCTAACCAAATATAAGAGAAATATTTTCAAAATTTGCTACAACTATAAACTGAACTAACTACACAAAAATCACCTAAATGAACATCTATAAATCTAAAAAACAATGAATCAAATGTAAAAGTTAAAAAAACGAACTCATCAATAATGAAAATTCAGTGTTTGATTTTTCCTTGGATTTGCAGTACCTTATTCACAAATCACAATAATATGTTTGAATATAGATATTAGACTTTTCTCAAGTGTACAAAGGTTCTAGAGTTCCAAATAGGAGACGTTGCGCATGATAATACATATGTAAGCAAATGATCCTTCTAATTGAACCTTTTTATCAAGCATTACATATGCAATCAGTTGTGGCTAATACAAAACACATGGAAGGCCAACTCAATAAATAAAAAAAATAATAAAAAAAAACAAACACATGGAAGAAGAAATTATTTGACAACCAACAATGAACAACAATGTGCTACCAAATAAACCTTGGAGTTTGAATCATATTTAAAATTTTTGAATGAAAAATGAAGAAACTTACTCACTTTAAAACACCATTGCACTGATGGAACACATACTTGGGTGTCCCAGTGGCATAAGTCTATCTGATAAACCATCATCAGGAGAAGTGTTTTGCGCCCAGGCTTAGTTTCTCTCCGTATTCCAGTCAGTCAACTTCCTATCAGTGCTGTAATTTTGATTTCAAACATAATTCTTCATTTAGTTATCTAAAAAATAAAAAAGAGCTACATTGGTCTACCTTCTCATCATAATGTGTAAATCAAAGAGTTAGGAAACAAAATTAATGTAGCAGAGGCAGAAATGGGAGGGGAAAAGGAAAAACAAAGAATAATCAATATCTGGAGTTGTAGACATGTTTGAATTTCTACATATTTTAAACAGAATAGAGAACAAAAGGGCAACTTTAAAATTATAAATTTCACGGAGGGCAACAAAAGCTGAAAGAGCAGAAGGAGAGGAGTGAAACAACAAAATCTGAGAGAAAGAACTTACCGGAGTGAGCTCTGATGGGGGAAAGAAGGAAACAACAAAAGCTGAGAGAGAGAGAAGAGAGAGAGAGTTTTAAATTTGAAATCAAGAAACCTACGCACTTTAAAATACCATTGCACTGAAGAAATCAAGAAACCTGTTAATCACTTGAAGATACAAAGCAAGCAAGAGAGATGTGATATAGGATTTATGGATACAATCTTGGAATTAATTTTCTTAAATAAACCTGATGAAAAGTGCAATAAAATAGAAGTACAAATGACAATTCAATTAAAGAAGAATGCATGGATAGTTTTTATTTTTATTTTTATTTAAGCTTTAAATTTTGGTTCCCCCATGACTAAAAGGATATATTATATTAGAAGTCCTATTGAAATTAAGTTGCCAAACTATAAAACATATTGTGAAACAATATGTGCAACATATGTTTTAAGTTGCCAAACTATAAAACAATATGTGCAACAATATGTGCAACATATGGATTAAGTTGCCATGATACCACTATCAATCATCCCATAAAAACAAATTGAATTAATGATTGGGATCCATTCCACTAATGTAAAGATGATGATAAGATAAACAAATTTACTTATCACACTATTACTCGTTTGTAAATGGGCATTGGACGTAAAAAAAAAAATAAAATTAATATAACGGTGAAATAATATTAAAAAAAATTGATCATATCATTGAATTTTTATTTTGTGGATGATGAAGCCATTTTATTGTTCTTGGTTACATTGTTTTATCAAGAGTTGTGCCTCGTTTGGGAATTCAAACTCAAATTTGGAAGAATTGTTAAATGCTCTGTTATCCTCAAATGCTGTACAATTCTATGAACCAAACATCTTTGAGGAAAACAAAAAAGAATAATGAAATTGTGAGTTAACATAGCTGAAAAACAACAAAGGAATTGGTGACTTGTTTCCTTAATGAAATTGTGCTGTTCCACATTTTTACATCAGATAAAATTGTTACAAAATCTAAATCTTTAATATCAAACACAGAAATTAACAATTTTTATACTGGAATGCAATATTTCAAATAAGATAAATTAGAAATCAAGAAATTTATTGAAATCAATGTATCAAATCTAAAAATTGAGAGCGAAGGCTCACTGTCTTGAGGATAAGAACTGAACCGAAACTTCACTGATACAATGATGCTTCCTCGACAATGTTGAAATTTCCTGTTAAAAATAAAATAAAAATTGTCGAAATTTCAGAGGGAGGGTAACACCATAATAATTGAATCTCATTCTCCAAGCCAAGTCTGGCAATGGTAAGGAAGATCGAAGGTGCTGTGATTGTGTGAAACCACATTTATAAATTGAAGGCACTTTATGGGTACTTTTTTCCGGGAAAAAATTCGTACACACAATAACATGAATATAAACAACAACAACAATAACATCCAATCAAATATAATCGAATTTCACAACGAACTCAAAAAAACCACTAAAATTAACCAAACAACATCAGAAATCGCAATTATTCATATGTAGATACAATTAAAAAATAGACACAGCCCGTCAGAAAGAGAAAGAGAGAGGCAGGACACGATGAACTCAAAAAAAAAAAAACCTCAAATTAACCAAACAGTATCAGAAATCGCAATAATAAAAAAAACACACAGCCCAACAAAGAGAGAAGGGGAGAAGTAGAAATCGAGGACTACCTTGCGAGCCGAGTTCGAGAGGCAGAAATCGAGGACTGGAGATTTCCTCACTATCAAGTGAACATCTTCATTTGCTCTATGGCCAGATCTGCATGTCAAGTTTATGTTTAAAAGATGACTATCCAGTCTTCAATCATTAATTAAGAAAAATAAATAAACGAAGATTGAGCACATTGATACATTTCTAGTATAACCATCATCAAAGTATCCAATTCAAATTAAAACCAAAATCAAAATTCGTTATAATCATAAGTATTTTGAAGTTCACCATTTATCATTTAGAAAGTCCAAACATAAATTTATGCCACAAAACAAAAACAAAAAAACAAAACAAATTTATACTATCTATCAAGTAAATCAACAACCAACATAAACAACAACCAACAAAACCAACTTTAATCTTCAGTAGCTTTCCCAGAACTATATGTTAATATTTTAAATAACAAATTTTAATTGATCTCTAAGTGAGTTACTCGAAGCTTTCCCTGGTCTTAAGTTTACAATCTCCTTTTCTAATGGATTTTCACCACCATATATGCACCATAAATACTATAATTTACATCTAGTGTAGCGTAACAAATCCCATATTTCTCATATTCAAATGCGGACCTGCTGTAGATTTCCTCAATGTCAAATGAACATCTTCATTTTCCATCCGATTCCTCCTTGCTCTATGGCCAGGTCTGCGTATCAAGTATAACTCTCAGTTGATCACTATTCAGTCTTCAATCATTAATTCAAAAAAATAAATAAATGAAGATAGAGCACATTGATACATTTCTAGTATAGCCATCAAAATATCCAATTCAAAAAATTAAATCTATTCAAGGTTGAAGAATATATGCCACTTCAAAAGAAGCAAATAATACACTATCAACAATCCCTTGGTATAATATATGAAGTTTGTCCCAGTTAAGGAAGTGTAGGTAATACTGTAGGAGCTACAGAAGGCAAGGAATATATAGATTAAGATTAAAATATATATATATATATAATTGTGACAGGGTGCTTTTGTGGGAGAAAATTGAAAGGATGAAGCATGCAAAACAATACAATATGAAGTGGGTTTAAGTCAATTGAAATGTTTAAGTTTGACATCAGAACTTAATTACAAAATTAGCATGCAGAACAATACAGTAGATATTTAAAAAATCAAAAGAAAGAGAAAGGGTATGCAGTCACTGTCCCAAATTCGCATGTGCTTCCTTCCATGTAGGTTCAAACAGACACATACAATACACAACTCAAAATGTTCACTGTGATCTGATTCCCAATCCATAGTGTTGTAGCATACATTGTGTTGAGTCTGTATTGGATGTTTAAAACTTATTTAAAAAAATAGTAATAATACTGTACAAAAGTATGAGTTAGTGATTTGTTTGATAATATAAATATTTTTCGTATTTATAATTAGTTACTTATTGATTGAGAAATAAAAAAATAAAAAAAGTATCAATAGAGTTGTGGTCTATTTCAAAGTATTGAAGAATTTTACTTGAAGCTTTCCTTGAACACATTCTGTTTCAGCATGAAGCGGGTTTTGCATCAACAACGGCAGTGGTGATGATGAGCAGCGGTGGTGGTGTTACAACCATATAGACAAACCAGACATAGCCATAAACTGATCTACTGGAATGCAATAAACTGATCTACTGGAATGCAATAAACTGATCTATGAAATTAGAAATCAAGAAATTTATTGAAATTAATTAAAAGAAGTAATAAACTGATCTACGAAAGGGGAGAGGCAGAAATTGAACCTTGCGAGTGCGAGTTCGAAGGGAGGGTGGTTGTCGATGCTGAAATTTTTATTCATACGAAACAAATTGATTGGAAAAAAAACCTAACTTGGATCATCATCCGTATATCATCACCAACCTGAAAAAGTGAAACAAAGAGAAAAAAGATTCATCAAATACCAGTTTCATTTTAAAAATAGCACCTTTTTAAAAAATAATAGAGATTGCCCGTGCCTGAAGGCACTATCTAATAAAATTCTTATATTACAGTCTATGTGTTGCAAAAATGTTAACGATCATAAAAATGTTTTATGAAAAGTGTCTCAAAGTTGTGATGAAATAACCAAAAAATGTTCAGGATCAATCAATCGACCTACAAAGGTTAGATGATTTTTCATAAAACTACTTAAGAGAAATTATGTAGTATACCCAAACAAATATAGCCTTAAATAGTATATCAAAAAAAAAAAAAATTAAATAGTGTGTGGTTTAACTCGGTTACAGTCGAATTCACATGTGAAGTGAATTTAAAACATACATTACTTTATTAACATTTGTTTTGTGTTTGAATTCTTGATCTATATATTATTTTTCTTAGTATTTTTTAACGTATGAAGTAGCTGACATCTTTTGATAAGCCACTTTGTAGGTGAATCACCTCAATTTCTTAATTATTGTTCTTAAAAAGCAACTAATATGCTATTTTCAATATTTTTTATTTATCCATTAAATTAGAGCTACCCTTAATAAAATAAGGGGAGAAATGATGGGAAGTGGTCAATGCATACGTCCCAAAAAAAAAAAAAAAAAACAAACAAACAAAATAATAATAATTGGAAAAAGAATTCACACCAATAAAAAACAATCTCTTCTAATTTTATTTGTAATGATATGACAAATTACATATTAACTTTTGATTTATTACAAATTCAATCATGTAACTCAACTCCATTGCGATGTCATTGCAAATGAATTGTAAATTCCGAAGTGCAAGTCTTTAACATTAATCTAGAAGAGTTACCCTCTATCTTTCGTAAACAAAATTCTTGTTCTTTCAATTAAAATTCGCCAAGAAATAGATAATTAAATGTGTTGCTAATAATAAATTTAAATATCTAAAATAATACATCATTTTCTTATGGAGAGTTATATAATTGGAAAGATCCCAAAACTAAATTAAATATGACAGTAATTCCATGTACGCATAAAAATCAGAAAAACATGCATACAAAATCAATATGCAAATTGATTCTAGGTAATGTGAAGACTACAACCATAATGAATTTAAACCACATTAATTTTTCTATATATAAATTGTAGTGCTCTTAATGGTTCCATTCAGCAGAGAAACATTTGGGTCTAACCCCAAATAACACTTCAGCTACATATTTAGCAGTCCTTGCCGGTTCCTTGATGTTGTATTGGGATATTAAATTTGTGGAAAAATAAAAATAAAAATAAAGAATAAGTGAACAAAGTAAAAGCTCATTGCCAATCATGATACATTTCAGACCCAAAATTTTTAAAAAATTAAATCCAAACCCATAAGCTACATAAAAAAATAAATAAATAAAAATTGGGATAAGAATGCACAAACAGAACACCAAAAACACGCTTTCTTTGGTGTGCCTAGGAAGAACAGAAAGCTCTTCATCCCCGCTTTCTTCCCGAAAAGGTAAGAGAATCCGAGAAGAACCTAAATTTCCCACTTCACAATTTCGAGCAACAAATAGAAATCAAACCCAGTTACTTCAAAAATAAGCAAAACACATCCGATTAAAATGCCTAAAACGTCTAAATTTAGTCGAAACCTTCCTTGTCATAAGCAGCTGATATTAAAAATAAAAAAAATAAAAAAAAAAACAAATTCATTAGCAGAACACCCATCAAAGTAAATTCGGTCTTCACTATTCAGTACCCAGAAGCAAAAATGTTGTATAACCTAGTATTCATATTGAATTGCAGACCCAGAAGAACCCATAAACTTCAATTCATAGAGTGTCTCTTGTTCTAATTTGTACTTGGACTATTCTCTTCACACATTTCAATTGAATGAAGCTATGATATTATTGAAGATGAAAACAATAAAGATTGAGGGTATGAGAGAGAGAGAGAGAGAGAGAGAGAGAGTTCTGTATTAATGTTGATTCTTCAAGGGATCTGACACAATTTTGAAGGGAATGTTGAATGCGATGAGCCACAAAGTTCAATGGGCCTCTCAAATTCACGGATTTAGTTTGATAGCAATAAATGAGCAGCAAATTAAAAAAAAAAGAAAAAAAAAGAAAAGTTTTACAAACTAAAAAATAAAATAAAATAAACTAAAATCATACTCGCTATCATAAAAAAACCCAATTTACTTTTCAGCTTTCTCTCACTAATTCGAACAATTATCAGAAAAGTACACATACTGAAAAAGAAACCTGAATTCTTGAGGGGGTGAGTGTTGGTTGACTAAAACAGAAACCAAATAAAACGTTAACAGATATAATTTTGACAATGCCCTCAAGAGGGAGGTTTTGACCAAACCCTGTTTTTTTTTTACAATGCCCTCACTGGAAAATACAATGTTATCTGAAAAAAAATTAACAAACTAAAAAAATTGTGGGAGTTTCACAAACTTAAAAAATTTAACAAACTCAGAAGCTGTGGGAGTTTCCACTGAAAGTCAAAAAATTGGATTTGATTATGTTATGGAAAATACAATGTTATCTGAAAAAAAATTCACAAACTCAAACAATTATGGAAGTTTCATAAACTTAGAAGCTGTGGGAGTTTACAACAGCCAATAAAAAGACTTGAGGGAATAAATAATTTAATTAGTTAGAGTTAGAGGGATTTACCTATTGCAAAGAATGTAAACACTTTAATGGGAACCTTACAAAAATGAAAAGACACGAAGGAAAAAAATGTAGGTTTTAGACATCCTTACCTGCATATCTTCAGGCTTATTATCTTCTAAAATCTGTGGGATCAAGAGAATTCAATATTTCAGACTTATGGGATTAGTAAAAACCTTCCCTCAACCCCCAACCAGTTAGTTGAGTTAATTTTTACAATGCCCAAAAAAAAAAAAAAAAATACAATGGTCATTCTATTTAACAAAAAACAAAAACAGCCAAGTGACAATTTTATCACATCAACACTGCATCACTGGAAAATACAATGTTATCAGATATAATTTTTACAATGCCCTCAAATGGGAGGTTTTGACCAAACCCTGTTTTTTTTTGAAAAAAAATTCACAAACTCAAAAGCTGTGGGAGTTTCCAGTGAACTAAAATGTATTAGATTGATTTTAAAAAAACGTAAATGACCCATAAACAAAACCCTAGTATCCAGCAAAAAAAAGTCCTTCAACTTTTTCTTATCAGAATCAATACTCAATACCTGCAATTCACACATTCCCAAAATAAAATAAAAGAAGAAGAAGAAGAGAATGAATGAAAGATTTTCAAGGATAAATGAAAATTCAGCAATTGAAACATCAGAAAGCCCAACCTGAAATGAATCTCCATCATTAAAATAAAAAATTGTAATTTTCTAATTAAATTTTCCAATTACCTAATATTGTTGTTGAAACATTTATAAAAACATACACACATATAGGGGGACCTAATTTAAAATGAATCTCAACTACTCCAATATTTTCTGACTAATTTTTGAAGTAAAGTTTTCGATTCAATATTTTTTCTGACTAATTTTTGAAGTAAAATTTTCGATTACCTGACTGATCATGAGAGAAGCTTGGCTCCAATGAAATGCAAAGTAGGCAAGGATGCACCTATCAAACTCCTCAACCAACTTCACATGCAGCTCATCAACATTTGGCTCATCAGCAAAATACTCATAGATAGTACTCTCACACTCTTTGGATTTTTTGAGGTACTCATATGCTAATTTGCAAAGTTGGGGACGTTCACTTCCATCTTCAAATCCTAAACAATAAAACATTTTAGTTGTTGTAAAGTAGAAAAACATTATGAAAAAAAAAAGAAGAAGAAAAGAAGAATGGAGATGAATAGATTTTTACCAACATGATTGGAGAATCTTTCAAGTTTGGCAACACGGCCAGACTCATTCCTGTCTAACAATGGAACTATGGTTTGATCTTCTAACTATTTTGGGGGCTTTTGTTGATGGTAGTAGTGAAACGCAGTGGCACAGATGACTCCAATGGAGGTTGCAGCCAGGATGTGTGCAAGGATATGCCCATCTAAAGATAGAATTTGAGAGAATATTATTACTACTGCTGCTGCTGCTACTACAATGAGAGAGAGAGAGAGAGTATTACCTTTGAGTTGCATGGGTTTGTTATGCAGAGAAGAGTCACCAGACTTGGAATTGAACTATGCTTAGATTTGAGGAATTGGGATTTGCAGATGAGAACAGAATGAATTTCAATTCATTGGTATATAAGAGGAGTTGATACTACTATTGATATGAGTCAACTACTTTGTTATTGGGATTTGCAGATGAGAACAGAATGAATTTCAATTCATTGGTATATAAGAGGAGTTGATACTACTATTGATATGAGTCAACTACTTTGTTATTGGGATTTGCAGATGAGAACAGAATGAATTTCAATTCATTGGTATATAAGAGGAGTTGATACTACTATTGATATGAGTCAACTACTTTGTTATTGGGATTTGCAGATGAGAACAGAATGAATTTCAATTCATTGGTATATAAGAGGAGTTGATACTACTATTGATATGAGTCAACTACTTTGTTATATATATTTCTAAAAAATGGTGTAGTGCTACCCATCCATAAGAAGAGTCCGGATCCTCTCTAGCCTCTCCCTCCGGGCAACGGCTCAGATAGAGCCACGTCACCTATAAAAAAATAAACGGCTTAGATTTATTTTTTTAAATAAAAACAATACACATTCACTGACACACACTCTCTCTCTCTTCCTCTCGTCCCTTTCTCACTGACACACACACTCACAAAACACACTCCCTCTCTCTATATCACATTTCTAACAAAAAAAAATTCAAATATAATTTGTTAAAAAAAAAAAATTTGAGGTCAAATTATACATGCGCCCAAGAGCCCCACACATAAAATAAAATAAAAAAATAAGCCTAAAACTCTACACCACCCACCCACCCACCGATGGTCCTTTCTCGCTCTCTCATTTTCTCATATTTCAAATTTTAAAACACACTCATTCGGTCTCTCTCTTCTCAAAACACACTCATTTATATGAAACCAAATAAAGAATAAAATAACTAAAAACTTGAGCTTTATTGAAGAAAGATTTTCATTTTATGTATGGCAAAGGATCAAAGATTTTTATTTTATATATTTTTTAATTGAATTTTTTTATAGCTTTGTTGCAATTATTGGTAGGGAGAATAGGAGAGTTTCAGAAAGTTTGAGAGAGGTGGTCAATGATGGATGGGATGGGAGTTTCAGACCCTTGCCCTTGGCTCTTCCGTGAGGGTTGTGTGCAACCACATTCGGTAGGCCATGGTCTAGCAATATGCAAGGTACAGAAAAATATGATGCCTCTCATATTTAAATAACATTAATAAGATCAAAAGGTAACAGATTCATATTGCAACTTCCAAATAAATTGAAATAAAGCTTTAATGGATAGAACATTCTAGCTTATGTGTTAATGACTTTAATAAGGATTTTCTTTTTAACACTAAAGGAGTTAATACTGAATTGAAGAGTTTGAAGTTAATTTCTACTGAAATGAAAATGCCTATGAGAATATAAGTTGAAGAGTTTTCTTTGCAGTTTTCTATGAGAATATAAGTTAATTTCTACCTCACCACATTTGAACACAAAATAACAACTAACAATTAGTGATTGTCCTTTCTCAATTTTGCAATTGAAGTAAACCACTCCGGAAACAAAGAAACGACCTTGAAGCCCAACAATTCCAATAATCAAAACATCAATGTACAAAGAAACTCTTCAATCCCAATATAAGGAAATTAAACACAAACAAAAATAAAAGAAAATAGTATGATCCATCAATCTAGATATAAAAACCTAAAATCAACTCAATTTTGCAGTTGAAGTATACCACTCCGGAAACAAAGAAACGACCTTGAAGCCCAACAATTCCAATAATCAAAACATCAATGTACAAAGAAACTCTTCAATCCCAATATAAGGAAATTAAACACAAACAAAAATAAAAGAAAATAGTATGATCCATCAATCTAGATATAAAAACCTAAAATCAACTCAATTTTGCAGTTGAAGTATACCACTCCGGAAACAAAGAAACGACCTTGAAGCCCAACAATTCCAATAATCAAAACTGACAAACATATGCTGATATACATAAAAGCCCACCCATTCAATTGACAAACATATGCTGATATACATAAAAGCCCACCCATTCAATTGACAAACATATGCTGATATACATAAAAGCCCACCCATTCAATTGACAAACATATGCTGATATACATAAAAGCACAAAAGAACCCATGAAAAATAAGCTAAAATAAAATTTCAAGGCATGATGCGAATTCAAAGGCAAGGGGGGGATTGATTGAATAAAATTTCATTCAAGCATAAAAGCTGATATACATAAAAGCAAAAAAGAACCCATGAAAAACATATGACAAACATATGCTGATATACATAAAAGCCCACCCATTCAATTGACAAACATATGCTGATATACATAAAAGCCCACCCATTCAATTGACAAACATATGCTGATATACATAAAAGCCCACCCATTCAATTGACAAACATATGCTGATATACATAAAAGCCCACCCATTCAATTGACAAACATATGCTGATATACATAAAAGCCCACCCATTCAATTGACAAACATATGCTGATATACATAAAAGCACAAAAGAACCCATGAAAAATACGCAGTAAAATTTATAAGGATTAATGGATAGAACTATAGTATCCAGCAGCGTATCCACCTGATAACAAAGAACATCCACACCACAGAGGAGCAATAAGTCACAAAAAAAAAAATTGAACAAAACTCTACAACAACACATTTCAATTTTCTTTTTTTTTTCCCTTACAAAAAAACCCTAAAAAAAAAATCCCAAATTCTACAACAACAACAACAGATTTGACTTTTCTTTTTTTTGCCCCCTTAAAAAAATCCTTTTCAAAAAACTAATTCTACAACAACAGCAGATTTCAATTTGTAGTTATATACCTGTAGGTTGGAGTCGGTGGACAGAATCGGGCTGGTCGGAGAGAGAGAGCCGAGAGAAGACAGATCCGTCGACAGAAGAGAGTCCGGCGGGACTGAGAGGCGAGAAGCGAGTCAGGCGAGACTCGACTCGATCGTCGGATGGAGGGAGGCTCGGTCGGTGACAGCCTCGGTCAGGTAGAAGAGAAGGGTTGTAAGGGAAGGAGGAGTAGCGTAGCGAAGAGGGAGGGTGGGTATCGAAGAGGGAGGGTGGGTATCGAAGGGTTCGAAGGGTCTTCAATGGCTGTGGTGATGAGAGACACTATGACAGACAACGTGGGAGAGAGGGAGCTGAAGAGAACGTGGGAGAGAGGGAGAAATGAACTCAAACGGGTGGGAAATGTATCTCTGATTCATCTTGGCCGTTGATCTAAACACAGGACTCATCTTGGCCCTTAAAACCAAATGTATCTCACATACATTTTAAGATATTTTCAAAATCCCTCTTGCCTTATTATATAGATATATATATTTCTCAGAGTTTTGTTTGGTTAGTTTTCGGAAGAAAATTATGTTGAAATGTTAAGAATATTGGTATTTTGAGAGTGATTTGGGAAAAACCATCTTGTGTTGGAAATACTTGTTAAAAATTTGAAAAAAAAAAGAGATTAATAGTTGTATGGGTTATATCTACATCATTTCATGATTAGATAATCTATTTTGAGAAAAATAATGTTGAAATATCATCTCATCTTTGATTTTGGAATTTATTCTTGAGAAAAATAAATTGATGTTGATGAATATGGAGTATAATGTTAAGTTGAAATTATAGAGTTGTTTTGGGATTAAAAATTCTAAAAGTGTTATATTCATGATATTCTATGAAAGGTGATATGTTGATGATTAAGTTGTGTTCATTTTTGTGAAAATGAAAAATGTTAAGTTGTGGACTTTTGAACTCACAACCTTGAAAATGTTACTCTTGGGCATATTTCATAATTTTTGATGTAAATATCATGTTGATTAAGTAACTTTAGAAAAAGTTGTGTAATTGTTATTGGTAGAGAATTTGAGGAAAAAAATTAATTTTTTAAGTAGCTTGGCATGAAATATGGTTACGTTTGAGAGATAAGGCATGTGAAGTTATGTTTGGTATTATTAATTTGAAAAATATTTGAATATAATGAACTTACTAATTTGATGGATTAAATTAGTTTGGTTAATATTTTATATCATTTATGATTAAAAGTGTGCTATTGAGATTGTACCATAACTTTTAATGTAGTAAGATGGAAATGGTAATATTCAATAAGTATGAGATTTGGTGAAAATCATATTGGTTATCCTGGTTGAGGTGGAACAAAGTTGATTGAAAGTTTTGTGTGAGTCAAAACAATTAAGAAATTGATTATTAGTTTTACTAGTTGGAGTATGCTAATATGTTCTTTTTGTACCTCAAATTCATATATGAGATACTTGATTTGTAAATTGAGGGTTTGGTTAAATTGGGAGCTGATTACCTATAATCTTGCTATTAAATGTATTTTCTGTATATAAAATTGTATGTGAGTATTTGAAAGTGAGAAAGCCTCAATTTGTGAAAGATCCTAAATGTTAATGTTTTGGGAGTTGTTGGATCATTTGGAAAAGATTATGTTTGGTTTTAGGATTGTGGAGTTTGATGGAAAACTATGTAAGTTTTGAAAGTTTGGCATTAAAAAGTGAAATATGGATTGTTTCCAAGTGTTGGGAATCATGGGGAATTCCAAGTTATGGTTGTATGTTAGATTGTGTATTGAAAAATCTAAAAATCCCGGAGATATTGATTTGTGATTGTGTATCAATTTTAAGCAGTAAATAACAATCTCAATCAAACAATCAAGACAAATCGATACAACGATTTTACGTAGAAAAACCACAATTGAAGCACCTCCAATTGTGACAAAAAACCATGGGCAAAAGCCACAAAACAATCCACTAAGAAGACATAAAGGAATTACACAAGTGTAGTCTCAATTACCTAGCGAATCCATGCCCCGAATCGAACTGACCCCTATGTGCCTCTTCCAGCCCCATCTTCACCTCAGAATTGTTTTGCCCAACGTTGAATCCACAACGTCGATGTCGAATCCGCGACGATGAGCCACTCCGAAATCCACCACAGCTTCAGGCTCAAGTTCCACGAAACTCACCGAAGAATAACTCTCTCTTTCGTGAATAAAACAAACTAAATAAACCTTTTGATATAATCTACTCAGTTCATGATTAAACTCTCACAAACACCAAAGGAAACAAGCAAAAAAGCTCCAAATAAAAATCCTAATACCCAATAAGAAGATCTGGAAGCCGTAACCCTAAAATTTGATAGAACCACATATTTGTAGAAAACAGATTCCACGATCTCCGCTGAAGCGTAGGAATGGCCACTCGAGCGAACTTATTAAAACACGTATGACTAAACAGGGTCTACGCTCGAGCACAGGAATGGCTGCTCGAGTGAAAAAAAAAACAACTCCCAGTACTTTTGGAGGCGAGTGAAACTTTTGAAAGGTCGCTATCTCCGCTCGAGCACAGGAATGGCCACTTGAGCGGTCAAACAACTTCGATTGCAATTTTGCTTTTGGCTTCAGGGGCGCTGCCCCTCAATCTCGCCTAGGCACTACCCTGGACCCGCCAAAGAGCTCTGCCCCCTGGACCCCCGCAAGCTGACCGGGAAACTCTATCCCTGACATAGTCAGCGAAGTGGCAAACATGAAAGAATTAACTTCTGAAACTTCTCTAAAAGGCACAATTCGGGTTAGATTCACATCTAAAACTCATAGCCTCACTGAAATAAAAGAATGAATAAAATTACAACTGAAAACAGTTTTGCCAAACGAGTTTGCCAAGAATAAAATCCTAACAATCTCCTCATTTGGCAATGCCATGGCAAAACACACCTAACAATAAAATCCTAATCACCCCAACCCATTACAGCCAATAAAAGCACACTTCTTTCTCAAATTCATGATCTGCAAAATAGCTATCAGTGCCACAATCTCCAAAACAACTATTAGTATCACAAGAATATAAGAAAAAACAATAGACATAGACATACGCAAGATTATCTTGAAGCAAGATATGGAAAGATGTAAATTGGAGATTTTAAGAACATGTCGCATGAATAAATGAAAATCCTAAGACACATGCACCCTCAAAAGCAGCATGCAAGAAGGAAACAATAAAGAAGCAGTGCATAGCAACATGCAAAACACCTAAAGCCTATCTCCCTTACCAAACAAATCAATGTAAGTTCATGCTAACAAACCTTTGCAATGATAAACCAAACTCCCCCTCACTAAAAGCAACCACAAACACAGAAAACAATGAGCGAGAAGAAAAATAATATGGTAGAGCAAGTAAGGAATTTCAGATTAGTACCATAAAAACACACAAGAATATCCAAGAAACACAATTACTTGAAAACACAATGTGCACAGCCTCTAGAAGATTCCTCATAAAACAAAGTGATGCATTATGTGAAAAGCATAGATCCCATGATAAAAGTGTGTGTATTACTCTTGGAGTTCGACAAACACAAGATTCAAATCCTAGTAGTGATCTGAAAGCTGGACCTCTGGAAAGAGAATCTAAGCACAACTAAGGAAAGTCAAACCATTAGGAATCAAGGGGTATTTGTTGAGTAAAAAGCGAAGGCTCCCCTCAGTCAATGAATCTTTTTTTTTTCTTTCTTTTGTACATTTTCTCTTTTCTTTCTTTTGCACATTTTTTTTCTTTTTATTTTGCACATTTTTTTCTTTTCTTTTGCACTCATTGGAAGCTCTCACGCTCAAGAGTATGGAAACTGAACCAAGGAAGCATGGATACAATAAGGATAGCCTGGTTTCTGACTCTAAGGTAGCCTTTGCCTCATGGCTGGACTATAAAGAACAGAGGGGAAAACCGTGGAGATGCAAAAAGATAGAAGGTTATTAAGAGACTCAACATCACCCATGATGTGCTAGTATAGGTCAATTCCTCTAGAAAGTCAAAAGTCACGCTGCTAGAAGTCCATAGAGCAAAAAGATCATGAAGGCGGAAGATTATGATATTTGCTAATCCAAGAGTGTGTACAGAATGTGACATACTAATCAAAGTACACACTCTCCAAAATGAGTAAAGACCACAGAAAATACACACATATTAACATGCGATGGATATTCTCATCAATTCCAATATGCCACAAGAACTTCTTCAAAATTTTAAGCTAGCAAAACCATACTAAGAAAATCTTTTTTGATATTTTTTTTTTTGGAAAACAAAGAAAGACATAAAATGAAAAAGCGCACACTAAATGATACCACACATTAAATGACCCAAAAAGAAAAAAAAAAAAAACATAAACCCAAAAACACAATAAACAAATTAACACAAGTCAAGTTTTCTCACCCAAATCGCTTTAGTATGAACAAAGTTATGAATTGTGGTTCATGGGTGGTGTCTTGACGTTGTGATTCCCTTCCCCTCCAATGGGAACCCGTCTCAATTTGGTTTCCAACTTCCTATACCTAGGACGAGGCAAATGCAAACTCGCTCCAAGTTTGGTCTCAAGCAAATCAAAATAGCAAGGTCTATTATAACCCTTAACCTCATTACGACCAATGAAGTGTCTTCTGCCCCACGGGATGTTGGAATTTCTTCCATTTCTATTAGGCACTCTCCCATGCAACTTATAACAATAAGGGCGAATATGACCATACATACCACAATGATGACAAATAAAAATAGGGTGTACCTTCTTTTCTTTGGCTTTACCAACTCTAGGAAGATTGAGAAGTCCATCCTTATGTTGAATTTTTTGTTCTCCCTTTCCTTGAGTTTTTGGCTCAGGAGATGTAGATGCACTCCATTTTTTTGCATTTGTTAGCACAAAAGCCAATGCCACTCTTGTCATAACACATTTGTTGAGACCCAATGATATTGTCCAATGTCTTTGATCCTTTGTTCCAAAAACCAATGGTAGCCATAGCACACTTGAGCTCTTTCTCTTTCTTGATCATTAGTTCTTCCAAGGCAACTTGAGACATCTCGAGAGTTTCAGTCTTTTCTTCATACATTGTATAGATTTGTTGTAGCTCATTCCTCTCTGTCTCACAAGTCAAGAGTTTTGCACAAAGAGCTAGTCGATCATTGGAAATCATAAAGGTATTATCCCTAGCCTCGGAAATCTCCTTCTTTAATTTGACATTCTCACTTTCATAGGCTTTAGGATTGATAGTGAGTTTGTTATTTAAATAAGATAAGCTAAAAGATTCCTTATACAACTTTTCATAAGCTTGTTGAAGCTCTTCATCATCATTCCCCAAGGATTCATCATTAGTGATATTCTCGACTGGTCTCTTTGAACACTCATTCTCAACCGGTCTCTTCAGATACTTTATTTGTCCTTCAGTTTTGAAAACAGCCATGAAAGTAAGAAATTGTTCATGCCCCTCTTCGCCTTGTGCTTCGTTGTCACTTTCAT